TTTATGGATTTATCTGTGATGGATTTTAAACTTACTCGTATCTTACTTGTCACCCTATAAAATCACTTGACATTTGAAATTTCTCTGTACTTCATTTCCATTTAGGCCATTTAGGGGTGTTCATGGTTCGGTTTGGGTCGGTTTTTTCCTAAAAAGAAACCAAACCAAGTAAGTCGGTTTTTCAAATATTAGAACCAAACCAAACCAAACCAATTAAGTCAGTTTTTTATCGATTCGGTTTTTGTTGGATTTTGTCGGTTTTTCGGTTTTTTTCGGTTATTTATCGGTTGTTTTCTTAAAATATGAGACATACACTACCAAACACATATTCCGGCGACTACCTTTTCAGCGTAACACAATCAAATCAATTGCTCTTTGAGAAATCTATTATTTACCAAGATATATTGATGATAATTGAATCAAATAGTGATGAATAATTTAAGTATTCAATTAAAAATCGATTATTTTTAACATGAAATAAATTCTTGTACTTAGGAAAAGAAAACTACCAATCAAACTAGAATGTGAAGGTAAGTAAAGAATTAGATGATTATATAGTAAAGAACTAGACTAAAAATACAAATGACTAATATGTACCATAAAATTTTAGAAACTTTATATAAAAATACACATATATATAAGTGTAATAATAAATTTAAATAGCTGCTTTTATAGTCGGTTTGGTTTGGTTTTTTTCGGTTATTTGTTTATTAAAACCAAAACCAAACTAATTTTGATCGGTTTTTAAAATTCAAAACCAAAACCAAACCTAAAAAGTATCGGTTCTTTTAGTCGGTTTGGTTCGGTTTTTCAGGTTTTTATGAACACCCCTATTTCCATTTATGAAAATCTGGATAATGAATCATGCATAGTAATGTTTTCTTTTTGTCAGTCCCACGGAACTTTAGGTTGCTCGAGGAACTTGAACGTGGGGAAAAAGGTATTGGAGATGGTTCTGTTAGCTACGGGATGGATGATGCAGACGATGTTTTTATGCGTTCTTGGACTGGAACAATAATTGGTCCTAACAATGTAAGCTCTTCTCAAAACTGTGTTTTCCTGTCTATCCTAGTAGCTTCTCCGGATGCTAAAAGTTTTCATTAGTGATCTCTGTTTTATTGTTTTCTCTTAAGCTGTAGAAGTTTTGGGTTGTTAATTCATTTCAGAATGTGAAACTTTTTTAACTGCTTTAAAGGATATTTTTCATTATAAGTTCATGTATGGACAATTAGCTAATATTTCTCCAAATTCAATTGAATCAAGTTGGTGGAAAGATTGACTGGTTGACCAAGTAGAGATTAAACATTGTACATCTTCTGCCTTAAGGCAATATATGTTTCTTATTTTGCGGTACTTTAGAACAAGTAAAATTGTGTATCTTAGAACAAGTAAAATTGTTTATCTTGAGACCGTAACTGGTGAACTAAAGCTTTTTTTTGGATGTTAAAGGTTAATTATAGATATCTGCAAATTTGAGACTCCATGTAAGAAAAGGTCAATAACAGATTATAGATATATCTAAAATTCCTCTATTTACTTCCTGCAATTGGGGGAACAAAAAGAATTACAAGGCCTTTCACGCATTGTTCAAGTAAGAGACCAGGTCAATGAATTTTTGTCAAGTTCAGTGGTGTGTGATGATTCTTGTGTGGTCTATTTTACAAAAAAATACTAGTTAGTTTAGTACTTTGGCAGTAATACTAATCGACAATGCCTAAGGAAGGTTGTGGCTGAACCGCGCAAGGATATGCGTGCTAGGTTAGTAAAAGTACATGGCTTTCTTTCCATAAGTTTTCTGTTTTGAGTACTTTACATATGTAATTGATTTTCTTCCACCTAATAATATATTTATGTGCAAATAAAATCCTTATGATTTGTCTGGGACGTAATAATGCATGACAATTCTGATCAAGAATGATCAAAGAGCGCTTAACCACTTGTGCAAATTAGTATCTTGTTACTGCTTTAGCCTCTCCAGAATGCAACTATTGTATTTATGATTGTTAGGAGCAGTATGCAAAGTCTATCTTCATATTATGTACATTTGGTGGAAATGCTTGCAACTTCTCGTGAAGCGAAGAACATTCTCGAAAGAACATGCTGAGAGAAACACTTCATTTGTCCATCACGATGCTTGTAATTGACCATTTCCCCCCGTTTTCTCAATTGTCAGGACATACATGAGGGACGTATTTATCAGTTGAAGTTATTCTGTGACAAAGACTATCCAGACAAACCTCCAAGTGTTCGTTTCCATTCACGCATCAACATGACTTGTGTGAACCCCGAGAGCGGAGTGGTAATGTTCCTATTTTGTTGCAATATTTTTCATTAGGTTCTGTCTTTCAGGATTGGTTGGTAAGCTCTATTTCTGAATAGCTTAAAACTGATTAGTATCTCTTATTGGAGGGAAACGCTTGACTCCCAATTTATATATTTCGATACACGACTTCATATTTCCTGGTTTTGTTGGAAGCAGCAAAAGTCACTTTAACATTATGGTGATAGGTTGAAGCAAAGAAGTTCCGTATGCTGGAAAATTGGCAGAGAGAATACACCATGGAAGATATACTGACCAAGTTGAGAAAAGAAATGGTTGCACCTCACAACCGAAAGCTTGTTCAACCCCGAGAAGGTACCTTTTTCTGAATGGAGTAGCCACAAGAATTGTATGTAAGATGGAAATTTATAGACTCAATACCCTTAAATTGTTGCAATTATGTGTCCAAGTGAATTAATTAATTTATTGGATCATGCAACTGCTTTGACAACTTTCTTGTCTCACATTCCTTGCCTACGTTCTATGGATTAATGTTCAAGAACTGATTAACTGTATCGAAATTAGAAGCTCCTAGTCTAATTAATAACTCAATTACATATCATTTGTTACATTAAGAAAGTTGGAGGGAGGAGTCCTCGATCTGCTAAACTAAGATATTGTTAGGGATGGCAATTGGGGCAGGTCGGGGCGGGGCAGGGCTAATTTTTTTGGGATTTTTACATTCCTATCTCACTTAGGAAACCTTTTTACCCTACATGTTTAAGGTTTGAATAAATTACATTTAGTATACCAAATTACAATTTCTATACCATATTTAATTAAGGTTATAATTAATGTGATATTTTCTACTCCTACCCACGTTCTTCATTATTCTCCGTTTAAATTCACCAAATATTGAAGTTATCATTCTACAAAATTCGTTCCCATCTTTAGTCAAGTTGAAGTTCCCATCTTTACTTTTTTCTTCCTGCATTTTTGTAGATAATGTTTATATCTGTAGATGTCTTGCAATATTTTGTAGTTATATGTGTGGGTAGGCTGTATTTTTTTGAAGCAGATTTGTATGTATTTTTTCTTCCTGATTTGTTTTTAGCTATTTGTGTAGTGATTGTGTAGTTATATGTAGATAATACGTAGATTAATGCTTCATTTTTATGCAGTTTACTTATGTGAAATAATTTATCATTTTGTGCAGAATGGACATTATTTTGCCCCACATAATGTGGATTATGGGGTGGTTAGATTCCACACTTTGTGTGATCCTACCCCAGTGTTTAGGGATCCAGACGAACCTGCATTAAAATAAAGATAAACGGTGTTATAATTTTGTAGAATCTTTGTAGATAATTTGTAGATATAGTGAAAATTTTGTAGTCATCCATTTTAGGATGTCAGACATTGTAGTTAAATTGTATTATAACTGTTGCAATTTGTAGAATCTTTGTAGATAATTTATTTAAAGACAACATTTTGAAATCAACAATTTCTAATCATAGATTGTAGTTTATTTTGTCTTATAAATGTAGTAACTTTGTAGATAATTTTGAAAATAAAATTGCTTTATTCTTTCATTAAACTGATTTGCAGTTTAATTGTAGGCAAATGTAGTAATTTTGTAGATAATACCGTAAAACCATAATTCTATGCAATTTCGAACTATACAAACCTGCACTTGTGTTATCGTTGGTGATCGTCAATTCCATATTGAAATCTCGTACACTTATACATAACGGATATGAACCTAAATTTTTATTCTCCTTTTTGGTCTCCATATACACACGAACCCCTATATCATTCCTAATCTCCATTGGGAGACAATTGTCGTTCACCATGTATTTGATTTCTACATTTTTTCTGAAGTATCAATCGATAGTTGTTCTGCAATTGTAGAAATCAGAATACTGTAGCTTGCATTCTCATCTACCACAATGGCATCAACTTCAAAATCTCTAAATCTGTCATAGTTATCCCAATTCCCATTCAATTGTAGCATGATTGCGATTTTGGACATGATTGCGTGTTGTTGTTGATGTATTATTCTAAATTTTTTCGCTTTTTTGGATTTCTAGATTGAGAGAAAAAAAGATGATGAACAGATATATGATCGACAATTTGATTTCTGAAAACGACGAAGAACAGAATATAGCAATTTTGAGTTGTTGAATCTCGAAGATTTGAATTCTACAATTTGAATCCAGTTTGTTGAAGTTGTTCGTAGTTTGTTGAAGCGGTTCGTACTTTTTTTTAAAAAAAATTTTGAATTGTAGTTTAAGAGTAAATTACGAGATGCGAAATCTCCTTTCCGTTTCAAAACTTGAATTTAATGTAGAATAAATCAATCCCAAGATTCTTTCCTGATTTTTCGCGCGTTATTAAGGGAAGATTTTGCTCTATTAATTCCTAATAAACGAATGGTACAGAAATTGTAGGAAAAATATGGACTAGGCGGGTAATTTAGATACTATGCACATATTTGGTAATAAAGTTTCATATATGGTATAAGAAGGAAAAAATCCCAATTTTTTTTGATAAATTAGTGGGTTAGGGCAGGGCAGGGCAGGGCAGGGCAAACTTTAATTTGGAAAATATGTGGAATATGTGACCGTCTTCTTCTGCCACATAGAGAAGATGCCACAGTCCTCTTTATTTTTTTAGCTTCGTCCAATTTTTTGAAAAGTTGTCGTCTTTACAGAAGACTTGCGAAGCAATTGCTAGCAATCTTTTGTAGAAGATTGAGATTCTCCACAAAAACTAGGAATTTTAGGTATCCAAATGGCGATAATTTTATTTGTGTTTTGTAAAAAAAAATACAATTTTGTTGAGTTAAAATTATGAAAGAATTGTAAACCCTCAGCTAATTATGTGACCAAAAAACTCAGCTATTTAATTATATAAAAGAGAAAATATTAATGAAGTCAATTGTTTCAGGCGTGCATCTCGTATAAAATATAAGTTTTCAAGAAGTTCAACATGTATAATATCACCGTTNGGTTCAACATGTATAATATCATTGTTGCTCATAGCGTTAGCTTTAAGTTATCTTTTTAAGTTGAAAGAAAAATATTATATGAAGTATTAACAGCTATTTTTGCTATCCTCAGCATTAAAGTATACAATATGGAGATAGAATTTCAACATTCCCCTCCAGATAAATATCTATTTTTTCTGAAAATAATTTTTCAAAATTGACAAATAGTCACACGATTGGAGTTTAATCAGTTTTGACAACTTTTAAGAAAATAACGACTAAACGAAACAAATTGGTTCAAATAAAAATTTCAAAAAGTTAAAAGAATTAATTTAGAATATTGTAAAAGAAAAAATAAAGAAAATAATTAAAAAACATAAACGGGGCAGGGCGGGGCAGGGCTTAGCGGGGCGGGGCGGGGCAGGGCAAGGCAGGGCAGAGCAAAAATTTGAGAAAATACTAAATGGGGTAGGATAGGGCGGGTCAAAATGTCAACAGGACAAGGCTTGCCCGGCCCGCCCAATTCCCATCCCTAGATATTGTGCTTACTCCATGCTTTGAACTAGGCGCTTGGATAATATTTGGTGGAAATCGAAAATGGGTATTTAGAGTTGCCAAATGATACTTTTTAAACAAGTTTTTCTTAATAATTCACAAATATTTAAATACTTTGCAAATTTCCAGCAACGATAATGGCCAAACTGGTATCGGGGTTATCCTTCTTTATACCTACTCATTACCATAAAGCGTTAATTTCTTGGATTCCTTAATAATTTTAACCAAATGTCGCAGACTTACAACCAAGTCGTTGTAGTATAGTGGTGAGTATTCCTGCCAGTCATGCAGGTGACCCGGGTTTGAACCCCGGCAATGGCGTTCATTTACCTTTTATTTTAATTAATAACAAACAAAAGTTCTTCAAGTGGGTAAATAAAATGTAACCACACTAGTACTTCTCAAGTAGGGCGGATTAGGCCGTTATTTACTCTTAACGATTTGGCTTAGATGTTGGTCAAAGAATGTGATTTCTTGCTCTTGTTTTATAACTGCTCCAATTTTCTTTAGATGTCGCTCTAATTACTAATCAATCCAAGAACACCTGCCGAAATGTGTGCGGACTGACGTTTTTTTTTACATGCAAGCAAACCTGTAGATGTATGTGTTTAACCCAATTTAACAGCAGAGTCTACTCGTTAAACTATCTCTTGTTTGTTAAATTTTGGTACTTCCACTGCACCTACTGGAGGTGGTAAGAATACGTGAAGCAATCAAGTAAATCGTTTTTGGTTTGATAGGATTGAAAAGAATGCGAGAAGCAAGCAATTAAAATTTGTCTAATAGTAAATTAGTAATAGAGAATAGAGATAGAGTACTGGAAATGGAAGAAGGGTTTTTTATTATTTAATATATATATTGATAAAAATAAATTTTATATATATATATATATATATATATATATTCTTAACGGGTTAACGGATTATCCATTAAGAAAATTGAATAATCCGCCCCAAACTGATAAGCCGTTAATAAAAAAATTTCAATCCGTTCCACGTCCGTTAAACCGTTAACCCGATACCAATAAGCCATTAAGCTTCAGTTTCGTTTCGGTTCGGTTTTCGATTTCGGTTCGATTTTGAACAGCCCTATTCTCAAGTGTAAATTCCAACATAGATAACGTTAAGTTACAAGAACTAGTACACATTTTTCGATTGATTTTATTTTGTGCCTCACACGACTTACACTAGTTGTGTGAGGCCTCTTTTTATTTCACATATTTGTGGACTCATATCTTACACATCTGGTCCACAAAATTCTGGGACCACATAGTTGTGAGACAAAAAAGAGGTCTCAGATAACTAGTATCAATTGTGTGAGGCACAAAATAAAATTTTTCGCCTTTTTCCTTAAGTTTCTGGGATTTCTTGACCACATTGAAAAGGAATGTTTATTTGGACCACAGCACTGTTTTTACACTTCAGGAGAGGACATGATTGACCAGAAATCAGTCTGAAAAATTAGATTCAAGTCAACATAGAAAAGTAGGGTCTAATGAGGAGGATAATCTGGTAATACTACATATTAAAGTACTAAATTTCAATTACAGAGAGGCCAGAATGAGTCTTCTGAGAAGGCAACAACATCAACGTTGACTGGCACCAAAATGCTGAGTCCCCCCTCCTTTATCACGTTTTCTAAACAAGAAGATATTAAAAAGTAAATCAATGATTAAAGCCCACTATCTTACTATTTTAATTGATACAGTAGATATTATAGAGTATAAAGATCCGTAAAACTCCACGCCTGTGGAAATGAGAAAGAAATATCCACAACTCTTTTTAGAGTTTTTCTTTTGCTTTCCTTTGGTATCATATCACTACAAAAATGTTTCTTGGCTTTTAATCCTGCTTATCAAAATATACTTCTTGCATTAAAAATTAATGGTTCAAAAATCACGTTGCTCTAAATGATTTCTATTTGCATATAAGATTTTTAGCAACTGTAATCCCTTTATTTCTAAAGTCCGAAATTATTTGATTATTACTATTTTTTTTGTTTCGCTGAAGTTTTACCTTATCCTACTGAAATTTTTGGTTTAGCATCTAATTATGTGATGGAAGTAGATATATTTTTCAAAAGCCTATTTCTTTTCGAAGAAAAGGAAAACGAAGAAGCTCTCATTAGTTTGTCTCGAGCAGAAAGAAACATACTTCTCCTGTGATGGAAATAGAGGGTGTTTGGCCAAGCTTATAAGCTGGTCAAATTAATTTATAAGCACCTTTTGACTTATTTACACGTTTAGTAAACATCCAAAGTGCTTATAAGTCAAGTGCTTATTGCCAAAATACTGCAATTACTCCATGAATTCTGAGCATCAATGATCTAGAATGTTCTAAAGAGAAGAGAAAAGGAAATGAACTGCAGAGGAAAAAGAAGAAAGTGGAAGTCTACTGTTTCATTGCCACTAACAGATATTTATATACAAATATCCTAACCGCCTAATCACAACTAATTACATCTTACAACTAATTACAACTAACTTAAGACACCTTAGTTGGCATCTAGTTGGCAGCCAGCTGTACACAGCTTGCCACATGGGCATATCACAATACTCCCCCTCAAGCTGGAGGGTGCAAAATGTTCAACACTCCCAGCTTGCTCAATAGATGGACATGTGCTGCATGACTTAATCCTTTCGTCAAGAGATCTGCTAACTGATCTTTTGTAGGAACATATACAGGCCTGATCATTCCACACTTAATCTTGTCTCTAATGAAATGTCAATCAATCTCTATATGCTTCGTTCGTTCGTGAAAGATTGGATTGGCTGCAATTTGCATGGTAGCCTTGCTGTCAGTGTGCACTATTACTGGTTCTCTAGTTTCAATGCCTAGCTCTTTGCACAGCCCCAACAACCAAGTGATTTTTGCTACTGCTGATGCCATGCTCATGTATTCTACCTCTGCTGAACTTCTAGATACTGTCTGTTGCTTCTTTGACTTCCAAGAGATCAAAGAGTCCCCAAGTTTCACAACATATCCTGTTACTGACCTTC